ATATATTTTTAATTATATAATATTAATTCTGACATCACGGTTCAACCGCTTTGACCCGATGGTTGAACCGGTGATCCGTCCACCGATCCCTTTTTCGATTCGCTCACCGATCCGATTTTCAAAACATTGGTCTCAGATTTTAACTTTCAAGGTTAATTTTTAAGAGTTTGGTGCAATGATTTTAAATAATCCCTCTCATATTGTGTGTATTCATGGCCGAACTACCACATGACCGAAATAACACTTGGCTATGCTGAGCCACATAGAAGGCCGAACTATCCTTAGCTCGGTCTTCTCTTCTAACTCATTACTTCGGCTGCCCTTATTCAACCTTGGTGCGTTTAGATCAAACTTCCAAGTAGCAAGTTCTGACTGACCTAACCAGAGTATGTCGCGACCGGACTAATTCTGAGACCGGCCTAACTCCGAGTTGCCTCTGGACCGGAGTAGCTTTACTCCTCCTTGGGCCGAAGCAACTATCTTTTCTTGAGCCGGAATAAACTCACCTCCTTGGGCCGAAGTAACTTTGTCTCCCCAAGGCCGGAGTAACCTTGCCTTCTAGGCCGGAGTATTCAGTACGGCCTTTTTACCTAGTCCTCTGCGTTTTGGGCCTCAAAACCCAACTCGAAGCTCGGCCCAATTTTTCCCAAAAATTACCCTCTCAACACATAATGACATCAAAGTTATCACCATGTTTAACTTTTTAAAAAAAAAAATTAATTTAATGAAAATAAATATAAAAGAATTATTTCTAACCTCCTAAAAAATAAAATTATATAAAAATGAAGTGTTTTTAATTTTTTTACCAATTTAATTTTTAGTTTCTTAGAAAAAAAATTTGAAAGTGAATTTTGAAAATCAAACAAAAAAGAACTTTATAGCCAAGAAAAAGTCAATATTATTCATTAAAAAAAAGGAGATTACAATTTAAACACCATATAAGTTAACAAATATAAAATAAGTTATATGATAACTGTTAGTAATGGTCGCCCATGTGGCATGACCATTTGAATTTGAACCTTATCTAAATAGGTTTTGAAATTGAATTCAAACCTATTTAGGATAACCACTCAGGATATAGATATTATCAGTTTTAACTGATATGGATAGATTATAATAATATATTATATATCTGATATATGGTTATGGGTGATTAAATCAGAAACAACGTATGATCTGTTTCTACCCATATACTGTCTCTCTCCTCAAAACAATAATCAAGTCCTTTGCACTGTGAGTTGTGTGGGTGATATTCAATCTGTGATATCACTCCACTGCTGGGTTGTTTTATCAGTTTCTGAAGCACGTGATTTATCCACGAGGTTCTATCATCAAGAAGGTATGATCCAATTATTTTTATCCGCTGCATATTTTGTGTTTTGATTTACAATAACTTTACCTTTTAAATAAATTATTTATAAAGGAAACATCTTTGATTGTTTTACTTGAAACGAGATTCAAAATTCAGAATTAAATATATCCCAATTAAAAATTTAAAAATTAAAATAACATAAATTCCAAATTATAAAAATTATTAGTATAAACTTTTACCACTATGCTGTTATTTCTCCTTCTTGGCAACATAAATTCTTCACGTCATGATATTTTTTTTTTTTTTTTTGGGCCCAATTCATGTCATGATAGTTGGTTCACTTAAAAGTCATATTGTATTGTGATCTAGCCCTCAATAATTCTCATTAATTTTCTGAATTCTTTAAATTTTAATAAAGATAAAAAAAAAATGAATGTATATAATTTTTTTTAAAATTTGTCAAAAAAAAAAAAAAAATCTTACATCTTGATTATGACAGGAGCATTAGAAAATATTTTTTTATAGAAACAAGCGAAGCATTAAACTTTGTTGATTGTGGATTAAGAGACAATTCATTGACTAAATAGATTTATTTCATTTGAAAAATTCATTTATTCGAAAAAAATTCACTTTAATCATTCTAAAAATTTATTAGAAATTTTTTTAAAATAAAAAACATACTAGCAAACTAGTTATTTAAATATATAAATTGGAGTGTTTGGAAAGAAAAAGTTATGGCTTTTTGGGCAATAGTATTAAAAAAGAAAATATGTTAGAATAGTCAATAATATAAAATATCGTATCAAATTCATAATTATTTCACAAACCTCACATTTAATTAGAAAAAATTAATACACTTTTCAAACACAATTAGTTTATTTTAAAATAGTCAATAATTAAAATACTCAACTATTCACCGCAAATATATATATTTCAAAAATAAAGCAAAATTTTGACAATACTGCCGAGGCGGAGAGAGTTGGGTTCTGACGAAAGCGAGAGAAGAAAAGAATCGAAACGCGTTCGGTTCAACTCTGTTCTCAGCTTTCCCTTTGAACTCTCTCTTCTCTCTCTCTCTCTCTCAGAGACTGAGTGACATTGGATCGAATTTCGATATATCTAGAAGCGATGATCGCGAACATTACACTTTGATCTGTTGTTTCGATTTGACTCTGTAAGTAATCCTTCTATCTCATTCCTAATCCCACACATAAACACTATCCGAGGAAATTTGGGGGTTCTGGTATGGAATTAGGGTTTTTATTGGTTTGTTTTGTGGAATTGGAACAGTCTGGCGTGCGAGGTGTTCAATTGTTTGTTTCCCGAGAAATTTGGCTGCTGGAGTCAATTATTTTGGGGAATGAGATCAAAAACTGTGGTCAAAGTTGCTGAATTCTATAATTTGTGAATAATTCTCATCTATCTATCTCAAAATGTTGAGATGATTTTTAGTTTTCCTGTGAAATTACAAAATCATTCCAAATATTTTATTGAATTGAGAAAGGGCAAAAAAAAAAAGAAAAAAAAAGAAGAAGAAGAACAAGAAGGATTTTGTGATTGCATTGTGTTTGTTTTGTTGAACAGAGAAAACCTTGTACTTTATTTTTGTAGCTCCTTCTGATAATGGTCTATTGAATGAACAGTGGTTACATTTTGAGATAACTTTGCATTGCTGATGAAGAATTTTGTGTTGAATTTCAAATAATGGTGGGTTTATGATTTCACTTGTGATATTGATTTCTTGGAGATTCTACTGGAGAGATTCTCTTTGTCAGTCAGTCTTCACCCCCTTGAAGCTAGGGTTGAGAAATTCTTTCAGTGCGTGACAATGTTCTATTAGCGGTGAACAGTGTTGTGAAATATAGGACATGACAATGTGTGTGTGTGTGTGTATTTGTATTTGTTTATCTGCATTTATGCTGGTAAGTAAGAAGAAGTGATTTGCTTTGAGAAGCAAATGTTCATGCTATTTCTGGTTTCTTGAAATGACCTAGCGGCTTATTATTAATTGATTGATGAATGTGGTTTGGATTTAAATGACTATTTATTTGTCAAGTTACATCTGCTTGTTGCTCATGAAAATTGAAGGATTCTCAAGTATGTTTTTTGTTTTTTTTTGTTTTTGGTTCAGCACATACGATTCCTTGTGCCATCTGTGCAGTGTGCACAGAAAATTTCATATCAGGACACTGGACTTGGCAACATAGATTGCAAAAATATTGTCTGATTTCGATTTTCATCTAGATACTACTAAAACCTGATATCAACGTCGTTAATTTTCTTTAATTTGAAGTTTATTTCCTTGGGTTCATGTGCAATTGTGTTTGTTTTGAGTTTGCCATCAATCCTTGGCTGTCTAAGCTGCATTTGTAATTATCATTTGCGTAGGGCAATCAGGACTTTGCTCAGGGAGTCAATGTGGAATGTAATCGAAGCATTGGAATTTACTATAATTGGATTGTGACATGAATCTTTTTGAGAAGCTCTGATAAGGAATAAAGGGTTGCATACATGTGCTAAAATAAGTTCTCACCTAGAATTTCATGAATACACTTGATTTGAGGTTTTAAGCGTGCATGGCATAAATTTGGGTGCCTTTAAATTTAGCTTGTCTCAGTAATTCTGTTGTTTTAATATTGCTTATGCAGTTACTTTGTAGGACTGATATTTCAGTGTGCAAATAAGTGATTCTTTCATTGAGTGAAGTTTCCGTAGAACTTCACAACACAACCATGAGTTTTGTTTTCCGTGGGACTAGAGCAGATATAGAAACTGGCCTTCCAGGAATTATTCCTGAAAGGCGTGCAGTGGTAAATCTCTTGCACTTTTTACAATTGACTCCATATCTTTTTTATGCTTGAGAATTTATATGAGTTCATATAAACAATCTGAAATATATTTCTGTCTGTCAGCGTGTTCATGCTGCTCGACCAGTCAATACCAATTCACTTGCTTTTCTTGTTACAGGTACTGTATTCATTTGGATACTTTTGTTTTTAGGGCAAATTATCAACTCCCCCCTTGAGATTTGACTAAAATACAGATTCTCCCCTGAGGTTTGAGAAATTACATCCGCCCCCTGAGGTTTATATTTGCATAACAAATTGTCCCCTCATTTGTTATGCAAATATAAACCTCAGGGGGCAATTTGTAATTTCTCAAACCGCAGGGGAAAATCCGTATTTTAGTCAAACCTCGAGGGGGGTGTTGGTAATTTGCCCTTGTTTTTATCAGTGATTTTTCTAAATTATTTTCACTTATAAGCTGGAAATTATAATGCCCTATTCTTTGTTTGCAGTTCTGTTGCTGTTCATGATTCTAAACTCACACCAGATGTCACCTAACTTCCTGGTACTATCTGAACTGAGTATGAGATTATGGCAGTGTCTTTTTAGCTAACAGTACTTAAGCTTCATTTATTTGACAAGCAATTTGATGGTTTGCTTTATATCTGTCTTTGCAGCTCTGGCTAGTATTTGGCGTCTTTTTTATGGCAACAAGTCTAAGGATGTATGCAACTTGTCAGCAACTTCAAGCTCAGGCCCAATCTCATGCTTTGGCAGCAAGTGGGCTTCTTGGTCATACTGAATTACGCTTGCATATGCCACCATCAATAGCACTTGCAACCAGAGGGCGGTTGCAAGGTCTCAGACTCCAGCTCGCACTTATTGACCGTGAATTTGATGATCTGGGTGTGGTAGTCATAGTCTTGTGACATCTTAAATTTTACTGCATTACTTTCTACAATATACACAATTTTTGTTCTTCTTTATTTTCCTCTTCCTGGAAGCTTAAAAACTTCATTTAGGTAAACTAAATCAGGTCTTTAAAAGGTATTTGTTTGCTAAATGCAGATTATGAAACTTTAAGAGCACTGGATTCTGATAATGTTCCCACAGTTCCTTCAATGAGTGAGGAAGAGATAAATGTTCTTCCTGTTCATAAGTACAAAGTTGCTGGCTCCCATAGGTTAGTTATCAAGTACTACAGTTACAGTAATTCTTAGTATATCTGCTTCAAGAGTCTCCTTTTCATGCTTGCAGTGTCCAAGTAGCAGGATCGAGTCTATGTTTTCTTCTTGTTGGATTGAATTTGTACCTCACATTTCTGAAGTTCAATAGAAAAAAATGAAAGAAAAGGAATGCAAATTGTTGGATGTTTTATGTTTGTGGAAAATTAAAAATGTAATTGTTTTCGATTCACCAGCCTCTCCATTTATTGTTGTCTTGGTCCACAGGCAGAATAGATTGGTGACCTCTATATGGATTTTTGTAAATTAATTTTATTTTTTAAAAACAAAAATGAGTGGATTTCTATGTGAAACTCCTTCCCTGGATTACTTCCTTCTTTGAAAGTGTTTTTCCCTGAGTGAAGCCAGGATAAGTGCATTTGTCACGTAGGCTTCAAACTACACACTTTTGGGTCCTATCAAATAATATAAGGGAGAATCGTTAAAAGGTGAACGGGTGGGTTGGGGTGTAGAAAGACAAAAAAAGGTAGCCTTAACTCAAAAATTCCAAACTAGGAAATCTAAAAAAAAGAACCTAGAAAAGACAAATGAAATAATGTTTTGTCATCAGCCACATTAGGATCAGCTGCTAGTGACCCAATGAGTTTAAACGAAGTGTGTATTACTCAATAAATTATGAACGTATAATAGGCACTTGATTTAATTTTCTTCATTCATCTTTTTCGAACAATCAAATGTCTGTATTTGGCATTGATGGGTATGTGGTAATTTTACTATCTATTGTCAACCGAAGAAAATGTGAAACTCATAGTGACTTTGCAAACTGCAAGAGAGATTTCATGTAACTTTTAAATCTGTTTTTCAATCCAAACACTATTTCTTTTTCCCCGTCAAACAGATAAAGTAATTTGATTCTTGGAATTTTAATTCTGGTTCTGTTAACAGTGGTATCTCATCAATGCAAGTGGCTTCATCTTCAGCCTCTGCTGAGGTACACTTCTTCCCCTTCTAATACTTCAAAAATAACTTTATAATCAAATTATGTTTCACTAAAGCCGATTACATTTTATTGCCCCTTTATGTTGGGATATGAATTATATGCATTGATTATTGTGTATCAAATCATGTTTCAATTGTGTGCCCATGTGCTCTCATGAAGTTTACCGTTCTATTTCTGAGCTTGAGCCTTTGCGGGTACTCAAGCAGTGTGAAAATCTCAAGAGCACAAATTTTGATCAATACTGTAACTCGAACTTTGACATACTAGATTGCTGGATCAGGATCCTCTCCTGCGTTTTTTGGTCCAGCCCAGTCCAGCAGTTTGGCGGGAAGACCATCCAATGGTCTGAATCACACCACATTGTGGAGAGCAAAATGATGAGGATAACGCCACCTTTTGGAACGATGTGGGATGACAGTCCACTCACATAGACTCATTCCCGCCTACTCCTCAGACGGCGGTAGTTGTGGCCCTCCACCATAGAAGCGACGGCGAACCTTTGCCCCACCATAAAAGCTGTGGCGAATGCTTGGACCAATGCTCTCACTCTCTCTGGTTGACAACCCAACTCTCTCTCTATTTCACCCTCCGCAGCAGTCACGGTGGCGTTGCATCTCCTTTTCTTCTTCGCCTACTGTGATGACAACTGTAGCATTGTTAACCACTGCTGTTGCCTTCATTGGGATCGGTGGAGGAAGAGGGTTTGATGAGTGAAGTAAGTGATAGAGACCACCGCCACTGCTGTAAGCCAGTCCTTGTAGCTGCCGCCTTCACTGGGTTTAGAGGAGAGTTTCTAGGGCTTAGGCAGTGAGTGAAGCGTAAGCAAAGATCAGAGTTAATAGCCTCTATTAGGGCAATTGGTTTATTCAAAATCAAATTAGCCTAAAAAATAAACTCCAAGCAAACTATTCCAAAATTTCATCATTTAGGAGACTTGGAGAGTTTCGTTTATCAAATCCAACGTTTTGATACCGGTCAAATGGAAGAACTTTATCAAGACAAAATGACAGATTACATTCTAAACTCCAACAATTGTAAAAGTTTCTTCGCAGAGCTAGGCGATGTTGAGGATTCACTACACACCAATAATTATCCATAAGATGAAAACAACTGGTGGGACAACCTGGATAATATGGAATGCCACAATCTTGAGAATATGATGGAAGCAATGACGAATTAGAGATTCCTTTCAGAGACAGAAGCATTAGTCGATTGGGCCCAAATGGTGTATCTCACATCTTTTTTCAGAAGGCGTCTACTTTCCGCAAAAACAGACAAAAGACTTTACTTTCACTTTATTGAGCAAGTCCAAATGCCAACCTGCTGGCATCTCATCTTTTACTCGGATATGTTTAACATCTGAGCTTTGGAGTCTGCCCTGAGGATATATAAGGAAGGAGAGTCTTATGTTCAAGGGCATTGAAAAATAGAGAGTATTAGAGATAGCATGAGTAATAACTTCTTTTTATCTACAAAAAAAGGAAGATGTGTTTGTAAGAGTCTTTCAGTTGTAATGTTTATGTTTGTAGTATCTGAAGAAAAGTCCATTTTCAAAACCATTGTTCTTTCATAATATAATCCTATTCTTGAGTGATACACTAACTTTGAGAGATTGAGAGTAAAGTGAGGCAATGAGGCTATTAGTGATTACCTATAGGCAAGAAGCCACTTGGGAAAACAGAAGCTGAAGGCAAGATCCGAGCTTAAAAGGCGTGGAAGGTGTTCTTCATTAGAGTTCTATACTTAGGAACCCATAATTGGATATAATTTCCTTAGACATTAATAACTGTTACTTGCTTGCTTACATGTTCTAAGCCCTGTAGTTGTCTTCACCCATATCTAATCTTAGAAATCAACTCGCAGTGCTTAAAGAACACCAACAAGAACTAACTGCACAACTTGAGAACAATTTGTTTCTTAAATCTTTAACCACCTTTAACACACTTCTGCATTACTGTCTTTCTTTCTCCATTTTTTTAACCATGTTCTTTTCTTATATTAAGTGTAAGTTGCCGACTTTTTTTAGTGTCTGGGTTACCTTTCTTCCAGAAATGCTTTGAGACACATTTTGGGGATCATTCTTGGATCTCCACATCAAGATATTTGTGACATGGTTAGTCATGTTGGAAAATGTCCTAAAAGTTCTGTAATTGTGAAATTTCATTTTTAAACTTGGACGTGTCCGAGAAGTATTGTACACATTTCTAGCCAAGCGACTCTAGGACAAGACTGCATCTGATCTTTTAGCCAAAAGGCTGAGATAGGCATTAGACAAAGTTACTTTGCATTAGTATAAATATATAAAGTTGGCAGTATTGGATGGGTATCAATTAGGCCACTTTTGAATTGCAAACTATACTTAATGGGAGAATGCTTAATTAGGCCTCGTTTGGGAAGGCTCTGTTTTAGCCAAAAAGCTAAAAAGTTACTAAATTAGCCAAAAAGCCAACAACCCATACCAAAAAGTCAAAGATACTTTTTGCACATCTTTTCGTAATTAGCCAAAAAGTCATCCCAAACATACTAGTGTTTTTTAGCTCATATTTTAGCCAAATAGCCAAAAAGTTACTAAATTAGCCTGTTCCCAAACGAGGCCTTAGTCTAGTAACTATATCCTCTAAGAAAACTTACACCAAGCATAGATTTTGTGTTTATTTGCCGTTGGCTTGTTAAATGTTGGTTCCACAAGATTTATCAAAAAAACAAAAAAATGTTGGTTCCACAAGCAAAATGAGATCTAGGAGTGCTGAGCACATCACTCATTCTTGCACATATTGTATGCATACTCTTTAATTCAACTTTCATTCAAGTTCTTGACAAAATTATTCTTACATTTGTCATAATTACTTCTTGCTTTATTACTTAATCATTCAAAAGTGCCATTTTTTTTTATGAAGCAGAAGAAGCAAGACATTGCCAATGCAGCAGTTGGGTCCACAAAGGCCGCGGAAGATGAACTGACTTGCAGTGTTTGCTTGGAGCAAGTCAATGTGGGAGAACTTGTTCGTAGCCTGCCATGTTTGCATCAGGTTCGTTCTCTTTCTTGAAGTGTTTTTGAGCTTTTCATCACTTCTCACCTTTTGGAAAGCCAATTTATACCTTTCTTTAATCTCAATTTATGAAGCATGGATCTGAATTAAACTTCAATGTTTTACTAATAGCCGCTTCAAAGGGGAAAAAAGTTAAAGTTTAATTAACATATTATCATTCAATCATTAGCATAACAGTACATCTTTTGTCTTTTTCGGATTTGTCTTCCCTTGAAATGAAGTTAGCCTAGATAAATTCATACAATTCAACTATGGATAGAATGGGAAATGTTATACTTCCAGAATAATTAATTATGGCATTTACGAAAGATCCGGTGTGTTGGGTCTTTAGTTTTGAAGTAAGAGGATCACAAGTCACATAATTTTGTATGAAAATTATATTGACTACTATTTGTATAGCATTACTCAGATTAATGTGGACAGGGCTAGCCTTGAAGTGAGGCCGTTGCCTCGGGCCCCCAAATTTAAACAAAATTTAAGTGCCCCTAATTAGGGGTGGGTATCATGGAATGTTATTTTAGATTTAGTCAAAATTACCTCAATATTGATCTAATTTATTTATTTTTTATGTTATTGTATCATGTCATGATTAGTTTGTGTCCGATTAATGTTTTAATCAATGTTTTAAAAATCAAATTGGTCAAGTTAAACCAGAATCGAGCCATGACATCATAATTATTTTTACAATTTGAAAATAAATAAAATATATTCATTTGAGGAAAAACTGGTGAAAATTCCATCCCAAAGGGTTATAAGGCAGTAGATCAAAGATAAAATCTTGTTTGGTGATAAGGACAAGGCGTTGGCGACAACAAGTGGTGGTGTTGAGGTAGAGAAATGTGTGATATTCAATAGATAGATTGTTGAATGAGTGACATGTGTCACATTTCAACAAACAACAAATAGTTTGATGAATTTTAACAGATAGATAGATATGTTGATGTCAATAGATAGTTGTCTTTTTGGACAAATTGTGTTTTTTTGACCCAAAGAGATTAGAGCTTGGGCCTAACGACTCAAAATATTCAAAAATGGACTTATGGCCCAAGTGCCTTCATTTAAAATATTTTTATAATTTAAGATATATATATTTATATTAATATTGTTTGTAAAATATTAATTATGCATATGTTTGAGATAAATTAGTTTGAATATAGTAAATATTACTCTGTTTGTTCCATTTTGTTGGTCCATTATTCCATTTTGGGATGTCCCAAAATGATAGTCCTATTTAAAAAGTCAAAGTAAAAAATATTTGATTTTCTAAAATTATCCCTTTTGAGTAATTATAAATATATTAAAAATTTGAAAAGATGGGAGGGGGGGGGCAATGGTGGAAAAATATTTTGAAATTTAAATTTAAGTATAATGATTGCATGCCCTCTTAAAAAGTTGAAATCCCCAAAACGAATCAAAAAATTGGGACGGAGGGAGTATATATCTTCTATATATTAGAGCATCTCCAACGGTAATAGGCATTTTACCTAAATATTACTATAAATTATATATTTTATTTTGCCTATCAACTGTTTTATATTTTTACTCCAACCATACTCTTTATTTTAGCTATTTATTCAAATACTATTAATTTTATAGAATGCCACATCAACAACAAAGATGGAGGGAAATGATCCTAATGATTGAATACATTTTGCCTAGCGTTGAAGGCTAGCTACATGTAGCTAGTGAATATGAGTTGAGCCAAAATGCCTAATCATATGCCTAGTGCATTGGAATTGAAAAAAGTGAATCACACTAGGCATTTTAACTAACAAGTATTATATGCCTAGTGCATTGGAGATGCTCTTAACAAGGAGCCATGGTGACATAAAGGAAATTTATGTTCTTTGGAGTCTGAGGTGTTGGGTTCAACTCCTTGTAGTACCAACTTTTTCAATATTGGACCACAAACTGATTTGGATTAAAATGATCCGTTTTCAAGTGGGAATGTTTAAGAGTGTACATTCGGACCCTAGACCGGTCGATAGTCAAACCGGTTGGTCCGGTTCTGTTTTCAAAATATTGGTTTTAATGGCAAAATTTTCACTCTTAGTTAAAAACACATATGTATGGCAAAATTAACTTTTTTTACAAGTTAAATTTTATGAAATTAATCTCTACTAAATAAATTATTCATAAAATATTTGATTTCAGCTCAATAACATTTCCCTATGTCAAAAATAAAATAAATTAAAATAACCTATTATTTTATTTTTTTTAAATAGCATTCTAAATAGGTAACAAACATTAACCCCATCCTGTTGAAAATATTTTTTTATGTATCTTAAATGATGTATATGCTAAACTTGCTAATTTCATGTAAGGTTTGAATCGTGTCGAAAATTCTCACCTTAACCCCATCTAATTCTAGCTCTTTTGACGTTGGTAGGCTAAAAAAGAAGGATTCAATTCAATTAATCTTAGCTCTCAATCTAAATGGAAGGACCCTATTAAATTATGAATGCTTAATTAGTAATTTAATTGAATTAATGTTTTGTTGTATTTAGTTTAATTTTTATTTTATATTTTATTTAATGTTTTGTTCTTTTGTTGTAATCTAGATTTGTTAAATAATAAAGCAATAAATCATATTTTTTAATTATTACAATGATTTCTTCATATCTTGATCTATTTAAATAATGTAGTATATAATTTTAGTGATTATATATAAAAGTAGAATTTGTGTGAATATTAGCAAATAAAAAAGTGTCATTTTGTTTCCCAAAAAAATTATGTATAAAAGCGTCATGGATTTGGATAGTAATTTAGAAAGAAAAAGGAAAAAGATTTCACATTTCTTTTTCATTTCTAAATTCCTATCTAAATATATTAGGTCGGGAATATCTCAGGCCGGCTCTGGGTGTGGAACCTGTGCTATTGGTATAATGTTGCAACCATGTGTCCTATTTTGCAGTTCCAGGCCATCTGGGCTGGCTCTTCTTGTGGTTGGCATAATGTAGTAACAATGTTCTTATTTTGCAGTTCCATGCCATCTGCATTGATCCGTGGCTGCGCCAGCAGGGAACTTGTCCTGTCTGTAAATTTAAAGTTGGGTCAGGATTGCACAACAATGGACAAGGCGGTATTGATGCTTCCTATATGGTTTAACAGACTTACAGAGACATTTGTAGCTGCTTATAAAATCACATATACAGCCATATACCCTTGAAATGATTCAGAAACAAGGGAATTCTTTAGACTATAATCTACTCTGGATAATATATGTATCAATTGGTTGGATCTAGTACGTGGCGCCTATGAAGTAGCGGGCTTAATGATATGATACATTATGAATTTTATTTAAAATTAACAATCAACTAAAACTTAAAGTGCTTGTTGATTACCATTTTTACATAAGGTCTCACCAGGTTTCCTTGGTCAGATATTATAATGTTGACTGTCATAGTAAAGCTTTTTATCTAATGAAAAGCTTAATATGGATATGCTTGTCAGGAGAAAATGTTTGATGGGGGCCTATTTTGCTTTGCCTTTTCCCTTTCCTTGACCTTTCTTGGATTCCAACTTGGCTTGGATACGAGCCGCGGCAGCAGCTTTAGCTTCTTCTCTCCTCTTCTTCTCCTCCTCTTTCATCGCAGCAGCAATTTCCCTTTGCTTCTTCAACTCCCTGAATAATTTTAGTGTTCAACATCCAACAACATAAGCAAATCATTAAGAATCTGAAAATTGAAAATGATAAAATGGAAGGTGTAGATGACTACTTACTCTAGCCTAGCCCTCTCATCTGAAGCACTACTTAGGCTCGAACCCTTCCGTGGTCTGCAGGCCACCAACTCAATTTCAAAGACTAGGGTTGCACTGTGTAACACACACACACACACACACACAAAAAAATCCTCATCTTTAATCATTGATAATTAATTTATATTTTGTCAAACAACATAGATAAGAAGAGGAAAAACATTACTCGGGGGGTATATCTGGCAGAGAACCTGTGCTGCCATAGGCATATTCTGGCTTGAGAGTGAGCTTTGCAACTTCCCCAACCTGTAAGAATTATTAACACAAAAATATCATAATTTTTCAATGAATATCTGAACAAAAAGCTTCACCGGTCAAGAAAGTTTGCATTGACCGACCTTCATAGTTCTCAATGCAATGTCCCAACCCTTGATTACATTGCCTTTTCCAAGTTCAAAGGTGAAAATAGTATTATCTTCATGTGTAGTGTCAAAAACTTCATCAGTTTCCACAAGGCGGCCTTCATAATGAACTGTTCAGCACAAACAAGTATATTTGTTATGGAATCATGAAGAAAAAGATGCTGATGAGCAAACTTCCGTTAATCTGTAGGGCTACATCATCTTGGAGAATGAATCAGAAAAGTGAAGGTAGCCTTCAATGTAAAAAATATTCTTGCTTTGTCTTTGCACTGAGGGGTTCCCAATTTGCCAAAAATAGTCCAAATAAGCAGAAACCTGAAGTAATTTGGTTCTGAATTGCACTAATAAACAAGGTTATTAAGATCGCAATCCGAATCGTAGATCCAATATATACCATTCGATCCAACTCGTATTTTGGATCAAGCCAATGAAAGGATCGTTGGGATCAACAAGATCGTTGAAGGATTGCGATTCCATGCGATCCGGATTAATAAGGTTTTTTTTGGCAACTTTAAGTCAAACAAGCCTTTGTCGAAATAAAAGAAGAAAAAAAATTGATCCTCTGAGCTACAATTAGGGCAAGACAAATTGGGGAAAGACAAATTGGACATCAAAGCTTCAAATTTTGTGTAACCAAGTATGCATCTTCATTGAATCTTCCTTCTCCGTTTTTTTTTTTTTTTTTGCCTTTTTCTGTCTTCTTCGTTTCTTCTTCTTCATCGCTCCTGGTCTTCGTCTTCACTGCTCTTCTTTTTCTTTGCTGCTCTTCTTTGAATCTTCCTTGTATGTGTTCTATTCTTCGAATCTTCCTCGTATGTAGTTCGAATCACCATTTTTTCTCCTCTCGACTTCTTTTTTCCTCCTCTTCTCTCATCTTTGTAGTTCGACTATCTGTTTTTGTATATGTGTATATTTTATATATATATTTGCATGCATGATTGTGTAGTCCTAATCAAAGCGAACATATGAGGGACTGAAAACCAGAACTTCGAATCACTTGAGGCTCCGTTTGGTTTAGTTTTTGAAATGAATTTTGAGTTTTAAGTTATATTTTGAAAGATGTTGAAAATAGTTTTGAAAGTGAAAATTTTGTTTGGTTATAAGTTTTGAAATGATTTGTAATTTTTTTTAATTTTTTTTTTAGTTGAATGGATGGGTGTGAGAGAAAATTTGATTGATTAATATGTAGCATGTGAGAGAATGTAAGAAGAAAGAAAAAGTGATTGATTGATTTATTAATAATAAAAAAAAAGGAGAAAGAGCTTCTTCTTTGCTGTTGCTGCTGTTTTTCTTTGATTCTTTTTCCCTAAACTTTGATGAAAAAAATTTCTTTTAATTTTCACAATTTGTAGCACACAACTAGCGTAGTAGCATCACAACACAATGTAAACCTCTAGTTCAGGAAGAGGGAGGCAGAGGAAAAATGTTGCTGGGAAAAAAAATTCTTTTATTATGTTTGACTTAGTTTTTTGAGAAAAAATGCTTGAATGCTACCTTGAATTGCTATATTTCTTTTTTTTTTTTTTGGAATGGATCTAGGGGGGAGGGGGGTCATTCTATATACATTTTGATAGTATTACTCTGTCATATAAAAATTATTGCGTTTTTTTATGATTTTAGTAGGATCTTACGATCCTACGATCCGATCTGGCAGACCCCCAAAACGATACTGTGTCGGATCCCAATCTTAACAACCTTGCTAATAACTAGCAGATTTACAAACAGAAGGCAGTTATATTTTGTGCATAGTAATGCAAATCAGTTGGAGATGCAGTCCTAGGGTTACACACAACCTTAGGGAACTTAATATGAGAGTTAGCACTAATGATCATTAACAAGCATAAATATCCAACAAAAAAGAGGAGCAGAAAAGTAATTCAGCAAAGGCAAGAAACACAGGATATTCCACTAGCAAACTTAATTCTGCCAAAGACTTGAAAGAGTTCAATCATCTACCAAATGTAATAAAACATGACAAACAAATCTATTATTTGACTGTGACCAAAAGGGGAAACAAAGAATAGACTTATGGCTAGAAATTTATTCAATGAAAGATTAAATCACAAAACATATTATTTGGACAGTTTAGCTGAGCAGGTTGCAGGTTTTGTAGTTTGAACTTAAGTCAATGATGTCAAGGAAAAGTAAGGAAAAAAGGGTGGCCTGGGTGGGCGGAAAGAAGACAAGTAAATAGGGTTAGGTCCTACCAGTCATGCAAAAACAAGAGGCCTTACTGAGGAGCCTTGGAACCATTCATGCTACAACCAAGGAATAGAGAAAGGGAACAATCTAAGAGATGAGTTGAAGAAGAAATTATGACACCATAGTCCCACTTATCTTGCCACTTAAATAGTCATGTGACTGGCACGTTACCACTTAAGTGATGTGGACAACCTTCAAATCATAAGGCTCCAAAATACACATTAAAGGCCAAATAAAAAAATCACTACTCCAAATTTCCAATTGTCCTAGAATTTATGCTCATGTAGTTGGCCTCTAACAGGCCATGGACAAAGGCATCAACAATTCCATGGCATCTAGAGCTTGCCCAGGGAGACTTTATGCAAGCATTCAGCTAGTCAAACTGAAACTGCTGTCAGCTAAGTGACAACTCAAAGGTCTTTGGTGGATAATTGAAGTAAGGACTTGATAAGGTAGCATGTATGTCAAACCCATCAAGGCACTTATTAATCTCCAGCAACCTGCCCCAAATCCAGTTGCAGATAGTCTACGACTCCACAATGTTTGCATTACTCAGCAGCTTCTTCCTCGTAGGCTGATTGCAAAGATTAAAAATTGGTAGTTGTAATGTCTCTCAAACCTAACCACTCTAGGGACCACCATTCCCACCTTTAACTCCCCCTCTAAGGTGAAGAAGGTGATTGCCAGGGTTGAAGTAAATCAGATTTGGAACCCATCATTTACATTAGAGTTATTTAATAATGTGAAAAGATTTAAAATTTGGCCAATTCACCTTGAACATACTACGACTCTTTAAATGACTCAATATGCAACTGTAGTCCCAAGATGCTCAATTCTCACCTCAAGCTAACTATTTCTAATGATCACACAACATTATAAGTCACCTCCTACTAGTTAAGGATCTTCAACACCTTATATCTATTCATATGTTTTATAGTTTTGCGATGGAATCTTTACATGCCAGTGATTGCAACAGTGACATGAGCAGTCATAGTATTTGTATCATCCAATTCCTACCATACTAAATTGCATTTATTAATAAAATAAATGAGACATGCTCACACCTAAATCTTAAAAGAGCAGTGAAAAAAAATGGTAAAAAGAAAGAAAATATGAAACTAAAAGGTGAATTATGCACCCAAACCAACTGGAGATACAAATGTTATATGTCCAGTAACTCTTTACCAATTAGCACGTACACATCAAGCTATAACAAAAATTCATGAATGCTAGTAATATGAGGCATACCATCAACAAGAGGAAGATTCTCCGTTGGAGCAATTGCATCAGGTTTGGCACGCCTTACAATTGTCTTGATGACACCTCCATCTCCAGTTAAATCAATTGCATCACCCATGATTTCCAAATTTTTAGTAATCTAATTGGGAAAACAAAACACAGCATAAAAGCAAATTAAATTATTGTGTAGATGGAAAATTAATTCAGCAAATTAAAACATAGAACAATGTCCACCACTGCTACACTCTTCTGGTAACATGCACGCTAGACAAAGGTACAACGATCTGCCGATTACTTAAAGGCACAATTATAAAAATTAACAAAATAATTAATAAATGGATGGGCTAATTGGACGGGGAAATGGTAAAATCTGCAGATTTCAAATGGATCTAGTTGTAGCCTATTGTTGATTGCTACATATACCTTTCTTATACGGGTGAAACACACTGAAATGCTCCCTCCCTCTACCATTCATGAAAAAGAAATCACAAAAAGATTCACTTACCAACCAACTCCACATATAACCTTATTCAGCGTGTGTTGTGTCGCATGACCATGTTTGAGCTACTTAGGATATTATAATGGATGAAGCAACGTCTTACTCACTAAGTTACCAACTCCATGACATGATAACTAAAAAAATATAAGACATGTCAACAAGTTATGAGAGCCTTACTAGGCGAATCGTACAGCAATATAAGAAATGTTTACAAAGCTGAGAAGCCTTTTGGCTTTTTTATTTTTGGGGAAAAATTCACTCATACACCCCTAAAAACTAAAACCTACACTTACACCACTGTAATCCCAACCAAAGTAAAACTGAACCATTTTATTTTATGTTTCAGAAAAATAATTAACTCAATTATACTATTGAGGGTCATGAAGGCAAATTACCAATACATGTGCCCTGGTATGCCTAATCCTTTGAGGATTAGAGGTCAACGAAAGAAGGCTTTTGTTAAAGTTTATCATGGTCTGCCAAGTAGCCCCTAACATCAGACTCGAGAGATTTATCTCATTAATAAGGACCTCAAAATTTCCAAAATTCGGAACGCCTGAATTTCAGTTGTGCAATCTTATCTACTAGTACTTGTTCACATCCAGATTTCCAATATTTGATGTTACTGAAAAGGATTGCTTTGCAATCTAATTAAAGCCTACATCAAAGCGAAGTTAAGTTCGCTATGTGTTTAATTTTGCACACCATACTATACTATACACACTATGAAAGCAAACTTAATCACAGAGCAATCAACCGAAAATGGAAAATAAAAAACAACAATCGAGGCAATACAATCGTTCTATAACATCAATTTCACGTAGAACTAGGGTTTGACAAATTGTTGCATATAATTTGAAATGTCAATTCAATTCACTAAGAACAAATTCACAGCTTCAAACTAAGTTAAATAGTTTCAAAATCACAAATTATCAACAATCAATATCAATAAGAATACAATTTCGATGATCTATACATGGAGTGTGTGTATAAGTATAACTAGGGTTTAAGAAACGAAACGAGAATACCTTGTTCTAAGGAGACGGAGAACCTGGAAAGTAGAGGCGATAGAGAGAGAAAGAGGGCGATCGGAGAGAGGAATCGGCGATGAAATCTCGGAGGAAGAAGGTTCGGTACGCTGATATATATATGCCGTAGAGTTCGTCGGCCATAGCCTTTCTGTGTCTCACTGCTTTGCTCTTCAATGTTATTCTTTCGATTTTATATGAGGTGTTAGTTTGGAAAGTTGGCTATTTTTAGGGCTATGAAGATATATTTTTAAGAAATTTTTTTAAAATTTTGTTTGATTTAATTTTTTTGAAAAAATTTTAAAATTACTTTCTTTTTCTTACTTATCAACTAATTACTTTTCCTCTCTCATTTTTTATTCTCAATCATTTTTTCTCTCTCACATATATGATATATCTACTCAACTATAATAAAATATCAAATCATTTTAAACTGTCAAACTTTAAAACTATTTTCAAAATATACAACCAAACAAACTAAAAAAAATTTAAATTCTCTCCCCAAAAATTATTTAAAAAATTTATTTCAAAACACAAATCAAACACACTCTTAGTTTTTTTTTTTGGTTATTTTAATTTGGTTAAAATAATTACATTTGAAATGTTGATTGATTTTTTTAATTGATTTGATAGTTATAAGAGAAAAAGTAAAATAATTATGAATTAGATGTGACATTTTATATTATTGATTATTTTAACTTATTTTATCTTTTGGTAGATTATTTTAACTTTACCCTCTTCCCAAACATCCTAAAAGGATAAATTATACTCATCACCCCTAACTTCTATTAAAAAAAATTTGGGTTTCTCATTTTTTTTTTCCCCTCATAATGTCGAAATAACAATGCTAAAGCTATCTGTTTAGTGGAACTTTCAAAATATAGTTTCATACCCACTTTTAATTGTGGTATTTGTTTAGCGTTTTCAAAAATTAATTCCACACTCATTTTTAAAATCTCTTTTCAAGGCAGGAAAATTTGGACTAATCGGTCGTCCTACCGGACGTGTCACTGGTTGACTAGAACAGTGTTTGATATTTTATTTTTATTTTTGCACCTATTATTTTTATTTTTATATTACAAAAAAAATATTTGTGAAATTTTTTAAAATTTTTTATGAGTTTTGAATAGAATTTTGAGTTGTATGTTTAGTTATGAGTTATAAGTTTTTGTATCAAATATCATATATCACACCACTCAATTCAAACTTAATTTAAAACTATTTTCAAAACTCATAACCAAACAAATTTTTCACACTTAAATCATAATTTCAAAACTCACAAACTCAAAATACAACTTATTCTCAAATCATAATTCTAAAACTCTATCAAACACTCTAATTTTTCCATGTTAATGTTACTTCATTAATGTAAATATTATTTTTGACGCATTCCGACCATTGTTTATTCAGTAAATTACGCTCACATGTTTTGAGATTAAAAAATATATATATAATTAATTTTATATTTTTAACATAATTATATTATTAATTTTTCTTGAGATTTTAATTTGCAGAACGAAAGAGAGGGAAAATAATTATATTAAAAATATATAATTAATTATATATATATTTTTAAAATTTCAAGTGAGGTGACTGTGATTTGTTTTTATTTATTTATGTTTGTTGGATGTCCCCCACCTTCAAACTATCAAAGATGGTAGAAGTGGTATTATTTTCCAACAATTCTATAGACACCAAATATGAGTGTTTTGATAGATTTCTTGATAATTTTGGTATTCCTAACATTTTTTTTTGCTGTTATTTTATTTTATTTTTTTTTGTTTGGGGGGGGGGCTCAAAATCATGCCTCGTTTGGGAACAGGCTAATTTAGTAACTTTTTTGCTATTTGGCTAAAAAGGTAGGTAAAAAAAACTTGTATGTTTGGGATGACTTTTTGGCTAATTACGAAAAGATGTGCAAAAAGTAGAGAGAAAAGAGAATCTTTGACTTTTTGGTATGGGTTGTTGACTTTTTGGCTAATTTAGTAACTTTTTGACTAATTGACTAAAATAGCCTCTTGCCAAACGAGGCCATTCCAAATTTGGTATTGCTACTTTTTTAGCACTGTGCAGTAGATTAGTTCCATATTACATAGACTAGTTTCAAATTACAATAATATATTTCCAAGTACCATGAAAATTTGATCAAAAAATTTTCATAAAAGTGAAGGGAATGAAACTTATCTATATATTTCATATTTAGATAAAATTATAAATAATTTTTATAGATTTGTAGAATTTTTAAAAGAGAAAATTGATGATAAATCCAATTTAGAGGGTGTCTAACATAATTGGTTCAGTGTATTTTTTTTATTAGTGAGAGATCAATCAATTGTAAAATAATTTGATGAGATGTCTTTTTACTTGTTTTGAAGGACATTTTCTCTCAATTTTACTCATTAATTTATCTGTTGGCTTTTTTTATCTATTGAATTTTTTGACTATCTATTCAAATTATTTTCTATCTGTTTAGATTTTTCATCTATCTGTTCAATTTTTTTGTCTATCTGTTTAATTTTTTTCTGTGCAAATTTTTTATTTGTCTAAATTTTTTATCTGTCCAACAATTGGTCCAGCTATTGGTGCCTGGGTATACGTCATTTTGTATTTTCTTCTCTATTTTTAAGGTTTTTAAGATCCAAAACAAAGTTTTCGGTCTTGGGCGTCTAAATTTTTTTTTTAAACACTTTAATTTAATAATTTTATAAGCTCATTTTGAAATACCTTTTTTCACTAGCAATGCTCGAGGTCGTTAGTGATGGTGAGGAATGGAGGAGATAGTGAAAACTTATTTCGGAAACATATGAAAATATCATTTTTTAGAAAATTTTAAAATTGTGAAATCAATTTTACTTTTTTTGAAAACAAAAACAACATATAAAACAAGTTCTTATTTGTAGTTTTATTCAGCATCACTCCAACGTGGAACTTGGTCGAGTGTCATCACAAAATTTCCAGTATCGGTTAGTAATCCACCTCGAGTAGTGGTGGCAGCCACAGGCCGATGCATCTTTCTTAGCCAGCTCCTATCAATCAAAGCTTCACTTCCCTTAACAATCTCACAATCACATGTATTTCTTCAAACCCTCACCAAAGCTTCACTTCCCTTAACAATCTCACAATCACATGTATTTCTTCAAACCCTCACACTACAACATTTTCTTAGTTTAGTGACATTTGAAAGTGCCACAAAACTATTCTTCTAATGACATTTTTTGGTCTTGTGGCATTTTTATACAATGAGTGCAACAAAGAGGACAAAATAAATAAATAAAAATTATTCTTCAAATCAATAATGTAAGCGCTACGCGCTCTGTTATTCAGACTTATAAAATGCTAGTAAACTATTTATAGTACTTATGCATGTTTTACATATTTCAAAAGCAAAAATCACTTTTAGCTACTTTTTTTTTTTTGTTGTTGTGGTTATATAGGGTTGTTTGTCGTTTTGTGGCATTTTTCAAAAATGTGCCACTAAATATCATTTTTGTGGCATTTTCTAAAAATATGCCACTAGTGTAGTGCCACTAAAGTATGTTTTTGTTGTAGTTTTGTGACACTTGTTCATTGAAATGTCACTAGAGCCTTTAATGTTTGTCATTTTGTGGCATTTTTCAAAATCGTGCCACTAAATATCATTTTTATGTCATTTTCTAAAAATATGCCATTAGTGTAGTGCCACTAAAGTATGTTTTTGTTGTAGTTTTGTGACATTTGTTCATTGAAATGTCACTAGAGCCTTTTATGTTTGTCGTTTTGTGGCATTTTTCAAAAACGTGCCACTAAATATCATTTTTTGTGGCATTTTCTAAAAATATGCCACTAGTGTAGTGCCACTAAAGTATGTTTTTGTTGTAGTGTCACACTAATAGCCCAAGTTTCAGAAACATACAACTGAAACTTCAACACTTCTGCAATATATATATATATGAAAATAAATAAATTAATGAATTACAGCTTCCATATACAGAAAAACAAACTCAAGAAACAGTCAAAATAAAAGCAAATACAAAACTAGGATCATAATTTCAATCAACTCAAGCAAGCTCAATTTCCTTGAATCAATCAAGACAATGATGAAACCATAATTTTGCATGATCATCTCGAATTTACCAATCAAAAAATCATTTAACATTGTGAATTGACCAATACAACATCATACATATGCAAATATACACTCTCAAGTACATACATACAGTCATGGTATATATATATACATGCATAATATGTGCAAATAAAACTTATTTGTTGAAATTTATCTGTTCAAAAATTCTATATGTTCAAATTATCTATTGAAATTCTATCATTTTTTAAATTATCTGTTCAATTTTTTGAACAAATTTGTTCAACAAACAACATATTTTCAACAACAACAATCCAACCCACCATTATCATCCACATCTATTGAGAAAAAGTAGATAGACATAGAACACAGAAGATAGAAGGAAAAAACAAAGGCCAGTGGCATCGTCTTCAATCTCATACATCAAATTCTCAACTTCATCATTTTCAACACCCTCTTTTTTCTCATTTCCATCCCTATCTTCCTTCACTTTCAGACTTAAGCCCTTCATTTCTGACCATTCACTGCTCTCAATCCAATGGCCCATTCAGACGACCTCTCATTCTCATTCCTTCCATTACTCTTAAACCCGTCCCTCCATCTCTTCCACTGCAATTACCGGCGAATATGCCGACGAAGCTCGCGACGGCGGCGATGGTGGTGGTAAAGGAAGGTAAGAATGTGAGTACATTAGAGTTTTAGAAACAAAAAGTGAAGGAGCATCAGGACAATCCAACCCTAACAATTACAATACATACACATATAAATGAGAGTTAAGTGTATATATATATATATAAAGAGAGAGAGAGAGAGAGAGGAAAAGAGTACCTAAAGAGGCTAAAGAAGGAGCTCCAAGTGAAAGCTACGGCGATCCAAAGCCTGATCTGGATTTGGAACAGAAGGAGCTCCACATGAAGGCTACGGTGGTTTTGGATATGAAATCAAAGGAGTTCGACAATGATCTAAAGATTAATCGGCGACGAAGTTGAGGAGCTCTGGTGCGACGAGCCACTATGGCGACGATTTGTTCGCGGCTTGCAGCTCTCAGACATCAGTGAGTGGTAAAGGGTGACTGAGCCCAAGGCGAAGGAATTGAAGTTGGAACAGGGGGGGCGGTGTCAATAT